GGGGCGCAGGGGGCTGGGGGGTCCCGCCTGGCCCTGGGGGGTCACTGCGGGGGTCCAGAGGCGGAGGGGAGGAGGTGATGGGAACTCTGGGAGGAGGGGGGGGTCCTGCACAGCTCTATGGGGGGTTCAGTCCCAGGGGTCCCCTATATCGCCAGGGGTCTTAAGGGGAGGGGGAGGGGAATGGCCGGGGGTCCCGGGAGGGGGGTCGCCCCTGGGCCCCCTTCCGCCTCCCTCGGCGGGTCCCTGCGACCCTCCCGGCCCCCCCCAGCCCGTCCCAGCCCCCCCCCGCACCTGGAGCCGCTCCGCGGAGGCCGCGAACAAGATGGAGCCGGGCGGGGGGCGCGGAGCGGGGCCGGGAGCGGGGTGGGATCGGGATGGGAGCGGGGAGGGAGCACAGAGGGAGCGGGGTGGGATCGGGATGGGAGCGGGGACCGGCCGGGCTCTGCCCCCGGCACCGCCCCCGCCCGCCCCGAGGGGGCCCGGGGAGTCCCGTGAGGCTCCCAAAGTTCCTGAAGTGTGCCTGCTGCATCCCGGAGTGTCCCAAAAGTTTCCCTGCTGCATCCCAAAGTGTCTCAAAGTGTCCCTAGTGCATCCCTTACTGTTTCAAAGTGTCCCAACCTCCCACACTGCATCCCTGAATCATCCCCTCATGTCCCCAAAGTGGCCTCACTGCATCCCAAAGCGGCTCCAACCCAACAGTTGTCCCCATTACATCCCCACATATCCCCACCATACCCCAAAGTGCCCTTGCTGTGTCCCCAAGTGTTCCCTCTGTGCTCTGGCCACCCCTGCCATGTCCCAAACCCCTGCCATGTGCTGAGCTGTCCTTGTTGTGTCCCCAGGTGTCACCCCTGTGTTCTCAACCATCCTCCTTGTGTCCCTGCCATGTCCCAAAGCACTTCAGTCATGTCTCTTGCTGTCCCTTTTGCATCCCACATGGTCCTGGTTGTGTTCCAAATTGTCCCCATCATGACCCAAAGTGTTCCCACTCCAAGTGGGTGGCTCTGGGTGATGGGAACTCACGTCCCATGATGGTTCTCATCACCTGTCCCCACTGCCTGTGGTGACACTTCTGGTGACATGGGATTTGGTGATTCCGTTTGGGAAGGGTGTCCCAGGTCACCCTGGTGGCCTTCAGTCTCAGGTTCCCTCGTCCTCGTAGGGTACAAAGGGCACATGGTGTCCCCAAGGGTCCACTGATGTGCCCGCAGTGTCACCAGGTCCCTGGGATGTCCCCATGTCCTGCCAACACCACCTGACCCTGGCGGCTGAACGGGCTCTTTATTCGGGAATCGGGCGGTGGGCTCCGGCCACGGCACAGCCTGGCTTCTCCCTGCCCTCCCTCCCGCTGGTGCCATGTCCCTGCAGGCACTGCCAGCCTGGGCACCTCCATCCTCTCATCCCGGGAATGCCGCTGGCCCCGACAAGCTGTGGACCGCGGGGCTCCATAGTCCATTGACCAGTGGGGGCCCCACAAACCCCACACCCCCCTGGGGTGGATCCGGCCCCAGTGGGAGTGGGTGGTCGAGGAGGACCCCTGGGGGTGCCCATCCCTTGAGCTGGGCCACCATTCTGTCCTTCGTAGAGCCACGGCCACCACCCATCGTCTGCGGTGACACGTCTGAGTCCTTCCTGGAGGAGCTGCTCCGTCATGTCCCCACTGCTGAGGGTGTGTCCTGGGGGTTTATCCCTCCGGGAAGATGTAGCTGTAGTGGTTGAGGATGTGCTCCACCACCTGGTTCTGGAAGACCATGTGCATGGCCATGTTGCTCTCCTCGCTCGCCGGCCGCAGCAGGGTGGGCCCGAAGACGATGGCGACGCTCTGCACCGACATCCTGTTCTCCTCCCTGTGCTCGATCACCCTGCAGGGATGGGGGGTGTCACCGGCTCATCCCCAAACCTGGGGCCTGTCCCTGACCCCGAGTTGTGTTCCCCCTCCCAGCTCCCGGGGTGGGTTTGGGGGAGCGAGGGGGTGTCACCTGCAGAGGTGGCGGAAAAGGACCTTCATGGTGTCGTGGTGGGCGGGCGGGAGGGAGAGCACCAGGTCCCGGATGCACCGGCCCCGCATGGCCAGGTCCTGGATCTCTGTGGTTGGGGGAAGGCGCAGTGGGGTGCTGGCTCCAGCAGCCAGAGCATCTGTCCCCATTTCTGTCTCCACCCCCATCCTTGTCCCCATTCCCACCCCCCTCCTCATCCCTATCTTCATCCCCGTCCTCATCCCCATCTCCATCACCTTGCCTGTCCCAGTTCCCGTCTCCACCCCCATCCCATTTCCATCCCATCCTATCCCTCTGTCTCTGTCCCCATTCCAATCCTCATTCCCTTGTGCAGCCCATTTCCATTCCAATCCTTATTCCCTTCCTGATCCCATCTCCATTCCATCCCTGATCCCATCCTTGTCCCCACGCCTTCCCCAACCTGATACCTGTCCCTGTCCTTGTCTCCATCCCAACCCTATCCCTCTCCCCTGTTTCCATCCTCATCTCCATCTCATTCTCACCCCGTCCCCATCCTTGTCCCCATCCCATCCAATTCCATACCTGTCCCCATTCTGTACCCTCTCCATCCCTGTCCCCATCTCACCCTCCCATCCCTTCCCATCCCACCCCATCCCGCTCCATCCCCACCCTATTCCCTTGCCATCCCATCCCATCCCATCCCACCCCCTCTCCCCATCCCTGTCCCTCACTGATGGCAGCGATGAACTTGTCGAAGTGGCTGAAGGGGACAAGTGGCTCCGGCAGCTCCCTCAGGAAGAGCTTCAGCGCCCCGGTGACAACGTGGATGTCCTCCCAGCGCCCGTCATCCAGGTCCAGCTGCTCGTCTGGGGGCCGGGGCAGCACCTCAGGTGAGTCCAGGGCCCCAGGGATGGGTGGGGGTCCCTGTGCCCCCCTCCCCCTGCCCCTGGAGGGGGGTTATATCCCATTTTTCCCCCGGTGCCACCGCAGGTGACCGTACCGTGCTCCACCTTGTAGCGCAGTTTCTGGATGGTGGCCAGGTTGCCACTGACCCGGTATAGCCCATCGATGTCCAGACCTGGCAGATGGAGAGGGGGGAAAGATTCCAGTTAACCATGACCCACACTAGGATGGGACAGCAGCCACTCTCTAGGGAGCTCTGGGTCCCCACGTGTCCCCACTGTCCCCTGGAGGGTGCCCACAGCTGGGTGGCACATGGTGACAGCCGATCCCACAGCTAGCACCAGGATTCCAGGGAAAACCCAGCCATGCCCTGCAGGCTGTCCCCAGAGCTGTCCCCACCCTGGTGCCCCCAGCTGTCCCCATGCCCACCCCTGTCCCCGGGGTGGTACCTCTCCTCTCCACGGTCTGGATGCACTGCAGGACGAAGCGCGGCACCGTCCCCCGCTCCCGCTCGCACAGCGCCAGCAGCGAGCAGCCAAAAACCTGGTCTGGGGAACAACGGGGACATGAGCACGGCCAGGGGACACTGGGAGGGTGGCAGCTGGGGGACAGGGCTGGGGACATCACGAAGAGTCCTGTGTCCATACAGGTGTGCCACCGGGGAGGCTGGAGGTGATGGGACATGCCCAAGCCCATCACCAAGACGTCGGGTCAGGGCTG